ATGTATGTGCATGTATGTGCATATATGTGCATGTATGTGCATGTATGCGCATGTATGCGCATGTATGCGCATGTATGCGCATGTATGCGCACGTATGTGCATGAATGCACATGTATGTGCATGTATGTGCATTTTTTCGCATGTATGTATGCATGTATGTGCATGTATGTGCATATATGTGCATGTATGTGCATGTATGGGCATGTATGTGCATGTGTGTGCATGTATGTGCATGTATGTGCATGAATGCACATGTATGTGCATGTATGTGCATGTATGTGGATGTATGTGGAGGTATGTGTGTGGGTAGTGTCTGTATGTGTCTGTATGTGTCTTGTAGTATGCGTATGTATGCGTATGTATGCGTATGTATGGTGGATGTATGCGGATGTATGCGTATGTATGCGTATGTATGCGTATGTATGTGTATGTATGTGATGTATGTGTATGTAGTGTGTATGTATGTGTATGCTATGTGTATGTATGTGCATGTATGGAATGATGGGATGTATGTGTATGTATGTGTATGTATGTGATGTAGTGGATGTATGTGTATGTGTATGTATGTGTATGTATGTATGTATGTATGTATGTATGTGTATGTATGTATGTATGTATGTATGTATGTATGTATGTATGTATGTATGTATGTATGTATGTGTATGTGTATGTGTATGTGTATGTGTATGTGTATATGTATGTGTATATGTATGTGTATATGTATGTGTATATGTATGTGTATATGTATGTGTATATGTATGTGTATGTATGTATGTATATGTGTATGTATGTATGTATGTATGTATGTAAGTATGTAAGTAAGTAAGTAAGTAAGTATGTATGTATGTATGTATGTATGTATGTATGTATGTATGCATGTATATATTCTGACATTCTATGCTGGCATTTTATCTGACATTCATTCTGACATGCTATTATGGCATCCTTTCTGGTATTCTACTTTGGCATCTATTCTGACATTCTTTCTGGTATTCTATCTGACTGAGGTCTGGCGCTCGCAGTTGGGGTCCGGCAGTGCCCGAGAGGAGGCGAGTAGAAGGAGGAGGAAAATCTAGAGTCCCTCACCTGGCAAGTGGGAAAATACCTCAAACCAACAGGTATGGCTTCTCGGGGCGCCCCAAGTTTAGGATATACTTCCTCTCATCCGTGGAGACGTCCTACAAACACAGTAAAGCACCATTGGAATCGGTTAGATGTATCTTTTGTTGCAATGAGAATGTTCCATTCCCACTAATTTATCGAGGGCAAGCACTGTTTGCAGCTGTCCCTGTGTCCACTGAGCAGCTCACGTTTGACAGCAGTGCTGATAGTCCAACACCTTTGAATTCATGGTCAAAGAAAAAGCCTTGACTGCCTGTAATTACAGAGGTAAAGGTTTCATCGATGGTCCAATGGGATACTTGGCCCACCACCGAGCCACATGATGGCCAGCATGAAGAGGAAGGGCCTTACCGATCTTACCGAGTTCAGAGCAACTTAGCTGGCTGCTCTACAGCAGTCCAAGAAAAACAAACAAAGCAGCACCCGAAAAAAGGGAGGCTGAACATTTTCTCATATTTTCCCATTGGTTTCCTCCACTTTCTCATTTTGACATGTTATGACATATTTTGGGACAGGTGAAACTCGGGCACAGTGCCCAAAAGATTGTGGCCCCTTGGGTCTTGCACATTGGACCTGTGGACCCAAACCTGTGACCCAAGGATTGTTGTAGCAAGGCAGCTGCGCCTTTGCGAGGGATGGAGCGACAAAAACTGGGGCGAAGGAAACTCCAGTAGCATGGCTTGAAACCTATGGGCAGGGATCATGTTATTCCAAGTCAACACATCGTGAGCTCCGCATCTCACCGGCATCCTTAGAGGCGGACGGCAATCCAACTGACACTTGGAAAAGATGGAGCTCATGGTGAAGCCACTGAGCACCAGATATAGAGATTCCTTGGCTGCCGGAACTGGAAATCGCTTCGCAGTACGTCTTCTTTGAATCGATCTTCAGCCTGCGTACGTTGAAGACCGAGGCCAACAGCTTCTTGGCCTCGAGTCAAAAAGGCAGATCAACATGGCCATGGAGAAATCCATGGTGGTTGGAAAAAGCCATGGAAAAATCCATGGTGCAAATGAATATCAAGGGGGGACTGAACCCGGGCCACCAGCACTGGGTATAAAAATTCCATGTCATGCTAATGACTTATGAAACTCTTTCAGAATTATTCGACAAATATGCGAAGCCATGAAGAGCTTGGTACTCCAGACTTTCAACTCTCCCAAGTCTGTCGGGTGGAAGGACTCGATAGTGCTAATTTGCAGATACTATTACAGTGGTCAGCCGGGTCAGCCGGGTCAGCCGGGTCAGCCATTGCATCATGGATGATGTGTCAACCTCCCAATCTCTCAAAAGACCAGTTGGGCCTGATCTTCTTTGCTGCCATCCATGACATCGAGAGCAGCAGCTAAAGGGGCCACCAACCTCAAGGCGCCGCAACACTGATTCCATGGGACCCAGAGGCCAAACTACGAACCATCTATGATCAAATATGCAGATGGCAATGTGGGCATGTCATGAGCATATTCTTCGAGGGAATCGGAGGGGTCCCCACGTGCTGCACATGGCATTCTCCGCACATGCCCATGGACCCTTTCTGCAACACACGGGTAGACCTCAAATTTAATCATTTTGATTATTTTAACATGAACCGATTAGATACATTATATGTGAATATTATATATATATATGATGTATGCATGATATATACTAGTAATAAACTAGACTATACTGGAAGGGATGAACTTTATCCATTTGACACCATCTTCACAGATCACCAACTTGACGCCAGACATTGCAGTCGCTTCAAATGGTGCTGCCTCCGACACCTCAAGTCCCGAGTTTTGTCGGGTCTCAGAAAATGGGTACCAAAGATGGCCAGACTCCCAGAATCTGGGTGAATTATCATAATTAATGGAGGGTTTCATGGGAAAATCGTCCATAAATGGATATAAATGGGTTATCATGTTTTATGAAGCTGAAATATGGGGAATCTATGGGAATCTATGGGAATCTGGGAAAACCATGGAAAACCACCCATCATTCCAGTGAGGGAGAACAGTGAGGTCGTTATAATTGGATCAGTCGCGCCATGGCTTCCATGGCTTCCCAGCTGGTTCCCCGCTGGGCGCCGCACCCACATCACCACGGTGAAGATCATGAGCCCCAAACATCGTTGAGCTTTCGCAAGAGGCACAGAGTTCTGTGACCTAAAAACACGTGCCGCTTCGTAAAGAACAGCATGCTGCGGCAAACTGACTCAGTCGGTTGGCGTTGACCGAAGCATTCGCCAGGGTTCCAAACTCTGAAAGAGAATCTGAAAATAATTTTTTAGACTCCGGTACCGGAGAACTTGCAAACTTTTGAATGCTACCATCTGGTTATTTAACGTAGCCATGGAAAGATCCACCATTTTTCAGTTCGGTAAACCATCTATTTCAATGATTTTCAATGGGCCATCCAAAAACCATGGCAAACTGTTAGTCATAACCAGAGGCTATTGTGGTTGCTCAAAGCTCCTCCGATCAGCTCCCTCAACGTCATTTGGCTTCCACACATCGCGAAAGCCATCAGGGCACAGCAAATGGACACCAGCGTCCGCGTCCTGGCACCCAGCTCCCGCTCCCAGTGGCTCCCAGTGGCTCCCAGCCACCCCCAAGTTCAAGATCTTGGAGAAGAAAGTTAAGCCATTGAGCATTGAGCCCCAAAAAGCGCCCAAAATTTCAAAATCCCCAAAAATTCTCGAGTCAAAATTTGGCACCGTGTTTTTTTGGGGTCAACATGTGGCACAAAGATCGATGCACTCAGGATCCGACAAAGACCAATGCTTGGTGGACAAGCCAACTCCACCCGACTCCATGGCCTGGCAATCTCAGCCCAGGCTTAAAGCCATGTACAAATATGTACAATGTACTGTATATGTACAATGTATATCCCTACCTATGTAGCCATCTAGCATCATCTAGCTGATCTAGCTATCTACCCTACGTATCTACCCTACCTATCTATCTCTATCTCTATCTATTCGGTCTGTGTGGTTTTCCACGCCGCCTGGGAGCGCAGCTCTTGGATTCGCTCCGGGCTCACCAGCTCTTCCAGCGCTCTCCGGCACGCGCGGGCGCGTTCGCCGTTGAAAGGTTGGTCCGAGGCTTTGGTGGCCAACGGGCTCTGCTTCAAACTCTTCTCCACAAAGACCTCCGATGTCAGACCTTTTGGTGGTTTCAAAAAAAATCAAAAGGCTTCAAGCCATATCTAATCCCTATAAAATGGAATCCCCAGATTTGGTCCAAATTTTCAAATATCACTTTGGTCAAAACTCGCGCAACCGAGTGATGATCCCCCAATGGCCCATGGCGGGGCTTGGAAGCCTGGGGTGTTTCGGTCTACAATGAAGCCTCGAGACTAAAAGTTCCGCAGAAAAACAAGCAAGAAATTGATTCGGATGTAACTTGATGTACCCTCTGGTAAACTAACATAGCTATGGAAAATAACTATTTTTAATGGGTAAATCCACTATAAATGGCCATTTTCAATAGCTATTTTGACATAACCAGAGGGTAACTTGTGTCGCTTGTGTTTTTTGATGGAACCTTCTACCTCTGAGATGCCTTGGATCGAAACACAATGGCGACATGGCATCCCTTCCCGCCTTCTGATAGCTCGTTCCGCACTGCCTCGGATCCCCGACATCTGGAAGATCTTGGAAGCTGCGTTTGAAGCCCCGATTTGTTCCTTTGAAGCTGTCCTTTTTTTTTGAAGCTACCAGGCTACCCTCCCATTCAGTGATGTTTCAGATTCAATGCAGGGATTCTCAGGGATTCTCAGGAATTCTCAGGGATTCTCAGGGCTCAGGGCATGGCTTGTCCATCTTTTTGACGATCTTTCGCAGTGCTTCTACGTTCAGAATCACAAACTCTGTGAGTCGTACCGCCTTCACAGCCGCCAGAAGCAGCGCGCCGCATAACATGTCTGGAGTCAAAAAGCTGATGGGTACTGTGTATGCGTCGAAGACTTGAGATATCTCAGTATCACGTGCAACTCATGCAACTGTCTTTTTTGAGGATCATGCTTAGTTTCATGTGCTAACCATCCAATATTTCAGGGGACCCACTTTCCGCCGCCTCAAGATGCAAAGCGGAAACCACCTCCGCACCTTGCAACAAGGGCATGGGCAACAGCATGCTAGGACCTGAGTCTAACCCCCATAAGTTCCACCCCTGTAACATCCTATAACTATGATTACTGCTACAAAGGGTTCAGCAGCACAATGATAGTTATATAACTATATATAACTATTTATAACTAATTATAACTAATTATAGCTATTTATAACTTATATTCAATTATAGTCATCCGCATCACCGGCTGTGAGTCCCCCATCGCTAGTTTGGCCACGCCTGCAGAGCCAGACAAAGCGGCTTCGCCCTCTAAACCTCTGCAGCGTAGCAACGGTGAAGTCCCGCCGAGTGGTCGCCATGCTAAGCCATGCTAAAAGTAAAATAACTATGGAAAATCACCATTTTTAATGGGAAAATCCACTATTTCTATGGCCATTTTCAATAGCTATGTTAAATTACCAGAGGGTATGTCATGTGATTCATATGTGTTTTCATCTGTGTTTGTACTATTACTATCAATTACTAGTCAATGATATTCTGTAATGGTATCTAAATTTTGAGGTATTCACAAGATAGATATTGATTACTAGGTCATACTAGTCCTCGCTCGCATGGTAGAGGCCCGACCTTCCTCGTCATCCAACTGCCGTACGCGAGCCTGGTGCCATCGAAACTCAATGGGTTTTTTCCACCCCCAAGGTGACCCCACCAAACCGCTCAACCGGCACCACCAACAGCCACGACAGTAGGTAGGTTGGCCTCCAAGGCAGTAACTTTGTCCTTGTACCACTCACCAACTCCTGAAAAAAAAAGGCAATCCGCTGGATTCTGGTCATGGAGTCATGGCTGCACTGGAATATTGCCATGTTTTCAAGCTATTGTACCAAGCACAGCTGTTGGTACTTGAACTAAGTGGATTTGTGCCGAACAACATTTGATGCGTATATCTTGTAAGCTTCAAACTAACCAACTCTTGCTCGACAGCCTCCATGAACTCTTCTTGCCTGAAGCATGCTTGCAAGACAGTGTTGGAAATGTCGGCAAAGTCGACAAATTGATAGCTCATGTTACACTAAATAGCTCATGTCAAACTAAGAAGTGGGCTTCTGCTGCGTCTGTTCCTACCAGGGCAAGAACAAACTGTCAGTGTATCAAGACCCGTTTGAACGTGGGACCTGAATGAAACAGTAGCTGAAATCATGCAATTGGAACCTTTTCCCAACTCGAAAGTGAAAGTCCTGTAACCAAAAATTGATAAAAATTGGTGTGTCTGCAGAACCCTCAACAGAGATTCAGATAGTCCACTGACAAACGGGCCAAAGAAAGCCCCCCATGCGCAAGCTTTTACCTAATCCATTGCACCACCTCCACTGCATCCCCACAGCAGCTTTTACCCTTGCGCTAGATCCACGAGAACATCATCATGTAGGAAATTTGGCGCTTGTCGGTCAATCGTAGCGAGGAACATCGCTGGACCTTCGAGCCATTCTTCGGAAGCACGTCGAACCTTGGCTGAGGCTCAGAATATCAAAATCAATGGCTGATGAATGGCTGGTGCCCAAATGATTTAGAATTTAGACGTGGAATCTGACGGTCTTCCCCTTTTTTTCTACGGCAACGAGTACGAGTCAGGAAGATTCAATCGTTACAGAAACATTTCCAGTGTAAAGAAAAGCTTGTTTATCTTTAACGTATAGTACAACATATAGAAACATTAGAAAAAACTGTCCATGTTTTGTTTTTGTCAAAGTGGCACTGGAAGGTTCTCCATGCTGCTGTCCTGGTCCAAGGTGATTTGGGATGCACTGGCACCGGCCTGAAGCAAAATCTGGGCACAGCTGCTGCAGTTCGTGAGCACTGCCAGGTCCAGGGCGGAGAAGAGACAGGACGGATCGGACACATCGGTCTGCTGCCTGAGGATGGACCCACCATTGACCCACCAAAAAACCCACCAAAAACGGGAGAGAAGCGACCTGAGCGAATTTTTTGGCCCAATAAACATGGCCAGTGATTTGTGTTTCATGCCGAATATTCATGAACTGGGATCAACATGTAACAGGTATGCGGAAAAAAATACATTTTTGGACAAACCCAAACGCCATCTTGTCTTCTCTGAAAATGGGAAAGCTGTGGTTCACCATCAGGTAGAACGGAGCGCAAACTTTGTCGATTCTTTGTCCGAAGAGAATGGGATGGCTTACAACTAAAAATCAACATCTGCCCATCTGTGGCAACGTCTCTTCTGCACAAACTCGTGCAAATTTTGCCAGCCAAGCTACACATGTCCCTTTGTGTCTGGCTCCAAGTCGGCCATGTACGATGTTGTATATCCCAAGGACATTGTTGCTTCGACCACTTCCTTGAGGGTCTCACCAGAGGTACCCGAGGTATCCGAGCTACCCACCAAAGCTTCCAAGCATTCACTGCAATGGTGCAAAGTTGCGATGTGAATTGGTTGCACCCCCCAAATGGACCTGTAGCTGTGCCTGTTACGCTTGGTACTTTTCAGCAAATAGTCCATCATCCAAGGATGGAACACTGGGTCCCACCAGGATGGGAACATGGTGAGGTTGAGGCCCATTCTGCCGGACGCATCCCTGGCCAGCAAAGCCTTCACACATGGCCCACAACCAGATCTACAAGCATCATGGATGGCTGCCCTTCCAACAACTTTCACCCAAGAGGTCTTCGTGCCAACACCGACTATACTCGTGTCCATGTAGGTGGAGTTCACGTCCGGGATCAGACTTGTGTTCTTGCTGTTCATGATCTGAAAATGGTCCAAAGTGGGACCACCCGGCACAAAAATGAGACAGGGAATTCATGGGAACTGTATATGAATGTCATCTCACAACTGGGATGCTATGGGGTGTGATAAGTCTGTAACCTTGGAAGCCTTGGAAATCGAAACCAAGAATATTTTGCCAGCTGGGCACCACAGCATCCCAAGGGTTGGAACAACCTGCGACGCCTATTTATTTCTCGCGGTTCTTGGGACGCCGCCAATTATTTCTCGCAGTTCTTGGGTGCAGAACTGCGCCAAAAAGATGCTCTTCAAGTGGGACCCCGCCTCCACGAATGGCCTGCCAAAATTCTTCTCTGCTGCCAGGTGCAAGATGGTGCGATTATCTTTCTCCATCCATCCTCCAGTCTCACATACCTGAGAAATTTTGGAGAAATTTCTTCCCCCCGAAAACAGAAAAACAATGTCCATCTTTCCTCCTCCACAAAAGCCACCAACAAGTAAAGACCCTGTGGGTATCGGTGCCCCAGGACCTTGAAGGGCTACAAGCTGGGTGCTCACCATCTGCGTACCTTTCCCCGAGCTTCATCCGTGTTGCTGGCAGCAGGTTTAGGAAGGCCTCTTCAGTTGGAGCCAAGGCGAAGAATGAGGGGCTGGAGCCGTCCTCGCCACTGGTCGCAGGCTTGAAATTGGACAAAGTTCTGGTCACTTAGAGACCCCAGAGGTGATAGCAACAAGCAAAAATTCTGTGAACAAAAAAAGTTCAGTGGCCCTGGCAGTAGACATCTTCGTACATGTGAATAGAATCTGGAGCAACTGCGAAGTCTTTTCCAAAAGTTGTTTCACAGGGCACCCATGTTCAATGACGCAAGAGTGCAACCCAATGTGACTGTAAGATCTGTAAGCTCAGGATCTTTCAAAGTGATCCCAGAACTTCTGCTCCGACATTCTGGTGCAGAGAAGCGCTGGAATCGCTTGCCCTTCCTCTTGACGCAAAGGGACAGAGCCTTCAAAACTGCTTGGCTCTGGTTCACTTCCTCAGCATGGATAACTGGACCCATCCGTGAGAAAAATGGGTTGATACCGTGGCATGGCCAGCTACATCTGGATTGATGTTTTTCTTTATGGTGGAGTTTGAAGCAGCCAGCATCTCAAGCACTCAGGAGTTTGGCTTTACTTATTTGTGGTTTGAACTTCGACCCATGGCTATGTGTGACTGTTGTGAGCTGTTTACATCATAACCAGCTTCACGGTCACCTAACAATTGCCATTTCCAGTAACTTGGCGCATGAGTTCATTTTTCAGCCACAACTACCATCCAACCATCCCACCATCCTCTCAAATTCTCACCTTGTAGAAACTAGAAAAGAAGACTAATTCAAGAGATGGCTCGGCTAGATCACCATGAGAAACGGCGAGCCTCATGTCGCCAATGATGTGAGCCAAGAGGTCTTGGTTCACGAACTTTGGGCTCAGAGGATCTGTGGCCAAGCAAACCTCGAGCGGATGCGGTGCTCTTGGCGGAGGGAACCGATCCGAACATTTCCCGAACTTGCCACATCCATTAGACACTCCCAATGGAAACAAATTCGCACTTGACAGAAGCTTTGCCTCATGTCCCTTCAAGTGCCGCTTTCGCATCTGCCGAGTAGCCGCGAGGGTGAATGGGCGCAGACTTTTCTGGTACAATGCTACAGAGGCTACGCTTCCAAGGGGTTGTAGGAAGTCCTCACACGTTGGAATTCTCCATTTGGCACTGGTGGCCAAATCCCTTGAATGGTGGTAGAGCAACTGCAAAGCAAGAAGAGTCGGATCTACGCAAGTTTCCAGTCAAATTGGTGTGTCGGAGAATGGGGCATGCCCCTGCTCAAAATGGCAAATCAATGGGGAATGGGATGATTTGCCCGTGAATTTGCGGTACTAGTACACAGCACTAGGTCACATCGTGTTCACAAAATACACTCCTCTTTCTTGTCGTGAAACATGGCTCTCAAAACCTCAGGGATAAATTTCATCACCATCTAAAGCAATGACCAGTTGATCAGTTGTTTCTGCATGATATGCAAACCTGTTTCATGGCCATGTTACTTTTATTGATGTTTTTCAAGCAAAATGACCTCTTGAGTTGCACACCGGAATCTGGCTGAAGGGGCCATTGAAGGAGAAGGATGGGTTCCTGCCATTGGCACACCACTCAGCCGAGCCGACTTCGCCAAACAACGGCGCTGTGCCGTGTCCTGACCAGGGCCTCCAAAATAGACACCATTGAGAAGGATGTATTCACTCTCCCCGGCCTCAGGATCATCAGGATCAAAACGATCACTCTCGTGCAAAGTTTCATTCCAATCTCAGAATCTGACCTGAACAAGCTCAGCAAACCACTTCCTTGGAGGCAATTGGCCAAAATTTGCAACTTGCTGGCCTCTTTCGAGGGAAAATGGTGCCCCAGATTTCTGCAAACCTTGTCTGATAATGTACGTCTCAGACCCAATATACATATACATATATACATATATATTTCTACATATATATTTCTACATATATACATCTGTATATATATATATATACATATACATATATATATACATATACATATATATATATACATATAGACATATAGACTCATAGACATATAGACTCATAGACATATAGACATAAAGACATATAGACATATAGACATATAGACATATACATATATACATATATACACATATATACATATACACATTTTTATCTACATATATATATATACATATATATACATATATATACATATATATACATATATATACATATATATACATATATATACATATGTATACATATATATACATATATACACATATATACATATACACATTTTTATATACATATATATATACATATATATACATATACATATATATACAAATATATACATATATATACATATATATACATATATATACATATATATACATATATATATACATATATACATATATACATATATATATATACATATATATACATATATATACATATATATACATATATATACATATATATACATATATACATATATACATATATACATATTTACATATCTACATATATCTACATATATACATATATACATATATAAATATATACATATATACATATATACACATATACACATATACATATATAGATAGATAGATAGATAGATAGATAGATAGATAGATAGATAGGTAGATAGATAGATAGATAGATACATAGATAGATACATACATACATACATTACATACATTACATACATTACATACATGACATACACTACATTACATGACATTACATTACATTAATACAAACAAACAAACAAACATACATACATACATACATACTAACATAACGTAACATAACATTACATTACATTACATACATTACATACATTACATACATTACATACATTTCATACATTACATACAATACATACATTACATACATTTTCTGCATTACATACATTACATACATACATTACATTACATTACATTACATTACATTACACTACATTACATACATACATACATACACATACACACATACACACATACACACATACACACATACATACACATACATACATACATACATACATACCATACATACCATACATACCATACATACCATACATACCATACATACCATACATACCATACATACCATACATACCATACATACCATACATACCATACATACCATACATACCATACATACCATACATACCATACATACCATACACACCATACACACCATACATACCATACATACATACACACCATACACACCATACACACCATACATACCATACATACCATACATACCATACATACCATACATACCATACATACCATACATACCATACATACCATACATACCATACACATACCATACATACCATACACATACCATACACATACCATACACATACCATACACATACCATACACATACCATACACATACCATACACATACCATACATACCATACATGCCTTACATACCATACATACCATGCATACCATACATACCATACATACATAACATAACATAACATAACATTACATAACATTACATAACATTACATTACATTACATACATTATATACATTACATACATACGCTTCTCCCTAAAAGCACAACGGAGCACTCGGCCAGTTTTCTCGCATGGCTTTGAGGTCTCCTAAGTTCCTGACTCCCTCGAGTCATGAAAGGCTGCAGTGGACACGCTGGGCAATGGACCCACAGGTGTTGTGGCTTTAACACTCATTAAAGTCGAAAACAAAAGGTTGGCAGGTAACCGCTTCATGCGGAAGCTCACCTTTATATTTATATATATATCTCTCTCTATCTATCTATCTTTCTTTCTATCTAATCTAATCTAATCTAATCGAATCTAATCTAATCTAATCCAATCTAATCTAATCTATCTATATATCTATCTGTCTATCTGTCTATCTATCTACCTACCTATCTATCTACAGTCGACTGAAAAAACAGCCCATCGCACAGCAAATCTACTGACGTCGCAGTCGACGCACATCAGTCGTCCCGGGAATCACCGGACTTACCTTCTGATGCATCAGCTTGGGAGACACATCACTTGACATAGCTCTTGTGCTCCTTGGTATCAGAGCCAGCCATGTCCTCATAGGCAATCTCCTTTCCAGCAGACTCCCCAACTCCAAGGTGGTGCAACCCCATGCGGCCAGATCTTCCACACCAGGGGGGAAGGTGATGACGGCCCCCCGCTTCCTGGTACCCAGCATGGATGCTTGATCAGGTCCCTGAGTCGCAGGCATGAATGGAGGCAGCACAGGAGGATACTTCAACTGCATACTCTGGTAAGCATTCGAAAGCGGTGCACTCACTTGCAATGCTCCAATCGCTGCATCCATCTACCTTGGAGATCACCTCTTGGGCGGCACGTTGCTGCAGTGACATCAAAAGCTGTCGTTCCTCCGAGGTGAGAAGCCTCGAAGCACCATCAGCGCCTTTCGACAAGGACATATCTACGGTTCACACAGGAGGGGATCCGGCAAATGAAACTGATATGCAAACGGCTGATTACATAAAACTATTGACTCTACGCAGGAACAAGACCACTGTACATAACTTATGCACTTGAATTATGACTGCTCTTTGCTCGATTGGTTAATCTTCGTTGTTTCTCTTGGCTTTGCATTTCAAGGACTGTCTTCTCGGCTAACCTGATACTTACCATGACGCATGCATGCACGCAGAAGTTCTGTCGGATCACCTGCATTTTTTGTCAGCGAGTCAGCTACCATTCGGTCTGTTATGACCCATCTCACTGAAGCCTGCATCCGAAGCATGCTCTGACGCAAGATCAAGATATCAATCGACGTTCTTCTATTTTCAGCTGAAGTAGGTGATGACACTGAAATAAAATGACCAAACAAGGACTTGCAATCGGTGACCGCTACAGGCTTTCTCCTGCGGAGCACGGCCTCGTAGGTACGGATATCGAAAGGTCCATCAAGTGCTTCAGATAGAATGAGAGATGTCCACTCTAAAGCACCAGTTGCACTCACCATTGACTGAGCTTCGGCTGCTTGCTAGTGTCGAACCAACGGCACGGCTGAGACGGTGACTTTTCCAGGCTGGCACACAAGACGATTCCAAACCTTTATCTAGGTCAGCGTAAGCAAAACCAATTATGAACCCTGCTTGTGTAAAATCACCCGCATTTGCCCAGGCCGCATCGGAATGACAAACAAGAGTCAACTTTTCAGGGTCGATTGGGACAAACTTCACCCCCAAATCACTATGTTGCTTGGCTCGGCGAACCACATTGTTGGCCTCACACAGATGATGCACAGTAGGATTGGGAAATGGTTGTTCGCTCAAACTGGTTTGTGCTGACAGGTCCGGACGGCTCTGGCTAGCTAACCAATTAAGGCTTCCATTGATGGCCCTAAGAACACTGATCTCTTTCTTGTCAAGAGTGGCGGTTCTGCTGGACCTACGTGCTGAAGGCACATGTGCGGGACGAATGTCTTCAGCAAAACCTCTCATGGTCATGTGGACATGTCACTTGGATCCTGTTTGCAATGGGCGCCGCAAAACTGCCCCTTCATTAATTCTCCATATTCGATAGGGAAATCTAGCACGAAGAAGTTGGAGTGCACGTTCGTATTCAGGACCTTGACCACCTGTTGCAGTGTCGTTCACATGGGATCCTAACACGCCACACAGCTGGCCTCGAAAGTTACGCAAGAAGTACAAACAAGGGTCATACTTACTGCCATGAAAACCTGTCTTCCCGACCTCTTCATCAAACACTCGATACCACGCAGCTGGGGCGTCGTTTTGTCCATAGCCAAGGACCTCAACAAGCCCAAAGCCTTCTGCACCTGGTGGCAACCATGCATAGAGCGGCTTTTATCGCTCTGGGATAGGCCCAGCTTCAAGAAAAGCACCCTGAACATCTCCGAGTTGCAACTTCCATTTGTATGATGCTAACAGCTGAAACAACACTGTACGTCCCATCTGTGACACGATCGGGCTTTGGAGCTGTCCAGATTCCGCTTTCTCGGATAAGTCAGGATCAAGATGTCCTTGCAAACAAAAACGCGCCTTCACTTTCCAATGGTCAAGGTTATCCACTTGTGGTAGCTGGCAATTTTCTACGACATCTTCCAAGGCTTTCTTGGTGATCACAAAACGATTGCCCATGATGCGACTTGGTTGGTTTTCCTTGATCCATTCGGCTTGACCAGCTAGTACGAGACAGACGGCATTGTTATTTACCAAGGTATTCCATCCTGTCACCTTGGCAGCTTCAACCTGTGCTTGAATCAGCGGTGAGTTATTACTGTGGTGAATCTGCATGAACTGGGAAATCAACACCTCATGAGACACACCCCTTTGCAAGTCTTCATGCGCTTCAGCTGCCGATGGCTTGTACTGCACAAAATGGATTTCATGTTCAGCATCTTTCTTA